AAAATTAAAAGGAAAAATAAAACAAAGTTTTTGTAAGAACCACCTTTGTGGAGTTTTATTGAAATTCTTATTTTATCGAGATGTCAATGATGTGACAGATAAAAAAAATATTCACCACTATGAGAAGAATATCTTAAATTGATATTAAATAAGCAGTACAAGATAGAAGGAGTATGTCTTTAATTTCTTGAAATATCTGATTTAATAAATAGCAAACTTCAATATAATAAAAATTTCAATTATCAATTTGGAAAACCTATTTTCAAATGCTGGATTTCAATGTCTATAATGATATAAGAAACTTTAATAAAAGAATTTTCTAATTGTGTACCAAAATATAATACATTTATTTCTTAACAAAATTATATTTAGTTAATTACAACAAATACATTCCAAAAAATAGAGTTTTTAATAGGCTTTATAGTTGGATACATTTCATTTGAATAAATTAATTGGTAATTAAAGCAATGTTGATTCTTTATAACATAATGGAGGAAAATACTTAACGTTTATTGGAAGGGATTTTGTGAGGTTAGTTCGACTTATAATAAGACTTTTGGGGGGATCTTTTTCAAAGGTCAATGATTCGAGTTTTACAAGAGAACTGAAATTTTTTTTTTACTGTTTTTAAGGCCTTTAGAGTAGTCGAGGTGCATACAAACTGATCTAAACACCTAATGTTAACTAAAAAGAGGGTTGTTTGATAATTTGTTATAGTAGACGACAAATGAAAATAAATATCATATGTTAAATAAATTCTTATAAATGAAAATTATGAAATAAATTGTAATTATGATTTATTTTATCAAAAATAATCGACAATGGTGTGTGTATATGTATATAGAGAGAGGAGGTTATTTAAGGAAGAACTTACTAATTTGTGATAATCGTGACATAGAGTCTCAACCACATATCAAATGGTAAATTAAAAAATTAATAATGTTAGTAATTTTGATTTAAAATTTTTAATTAGAGAACATATTAGAGCATCTCCTATGCATAAGTCTTTTATAGCTTTTTACTATTAAGGATAATAAATACCATCGGAGCAAAAAGCTTTTTGAAGAAAAGGTTGGAGATACTTGACCGGTCATTGGGATTAATTTTTCACACCCAATTTTTTATTTTATTCTCCCTTTCAATATAATTTTTTATTTTAAACCTTAATACATTTTGATCAGTTAATCTAATTAAATAAGCTTGTTTTTATAATAAAATATATTATTAAAAAATTCTCGTCAACACGATCAAAATAACACAAATATTGAATACTTTAAAAATATATAAATCATATAATATATTATATATTCATCATCTTTTATTTTCTTTAAAGAATTGATTTTTTTATTGTTATTTTTTTAATAAAAATACAAACTTCATTTCGAAAGAAAAAGGAAAATGTCAAGTTTGGAAGGCATTACAAATGAACAACTAGCGATTAATAAAACGTTGTGCGACAATTATATACAATGTATTTATGATGGTTCTTTAGGAGGGGGTTTTATAGGATAATTTAAATAGAAGGATAAATGTTAAATTCTAAATAAATAAATAAAAAGCTTCGCGAGAGGTTATTTTATTGGGGAAGGTTTTTAATAATAGGTTTTTGTTAAAATAAATTAGTGGAAAGCTGACATGGCAAAAATAATAAGTTGATGAATAAGTTATGCAATGGAGATGCTCTCTAAGTATTTTAGAAATCTTACATATCGTCTCTTCAAATAACCTTATTCCAACAAACACCATGTGAATACAAGATACACAATGTGATACATAAAAAAACATCCCACTGTTAAAAAAAAATACATATAAGCGATCCTAATGTTGATTCACAAGATACACTGTGATACTCATTGTTTACAACACCAATATTGTTCACAACACCAAATATTAATTTTGGTAATACAAAATAGGGGGGAGAGAGAGAGAGAGAGAGAGAGGTTAAATACGAAAAAGAGTGAGTTGTTAAATAATTTAATTAAATACAAGATGAGAATATCAAATTACTAATCTACCCATTTACTTTATTTTATAAATTAAAATTAATTATCATAAATGACTGACTTACATATATGATATTAAAGTTTCTAGCCTTCTCACAAATTGATTTACTTCTCACATGATCATCATCCCCATGTTCGAATTCAAGTACCACCAAACTTTTGTTAAAATGAAGGTTCCCTGCAACAACTCTACGCCATTCGTAATGGTCCGAGGATTAATAGGTACATGTAAGTTGGCCAGAGAACCCATTATACCAAAAAAAAAAAAAAAAGATGCTTGGCCATTAAGATCTCCAACTGTTAGTTGCTAAATGCTTCAAGGTTTGTTGAACCCAATGTGAGGCCTTAAGATGAATCGTTCCTGTGTTTAAATCTGTTATCTACAGCTGAATTTCACCCACAATCTTATTTATTTTCCGAGGTAATTTTAGTAATTTCCTAATCCTCAAGAACAATGGCGAACAACCAACTAATCTCGGATCAATCGGATGGATTTAGAAACAACAAAAACTACAATAATTGTGGCAGCATTTGCAGCCATCCAAGTACCAGGACCAAGGATTTGTTTGCCCTTGCTAAAAGGTCAGGTTAATAGGGGTTCTGAGACCCATATTGGTGAATCAATTTCGTGGGATTAAGACTCACAAATGTATGTTATTGATTGGCTAGACAAAACCATGAACAATAGGAATAGAATCCCCCAACTCAAGTTACAACAGAATTCATCATGGAAAAATAGCAACAGTCCTTTACCACATAGAATGCATGGTTAACCAGTTCTCTTGATGATGTGCACTCCACTATCAGTATCCACAATCTCGCTTATCTCGCCCACTTTCAGTGCGTATGTTGCATCCTCAAACGGCTTCTGCATCTGCTTCCTTCTAAACGAACCTACATCAAAGTTACGCAAAAAAATGATACTGTTTAAATCACTCAATAATCAATAAACAGATATGCCATTTGTTGTGGGTTTAAGCCACAACTGAACCAACAGAAGTTATCAAGTAGAGAAAACCCATAGAATGAGTGTTTGTTTGGTTTGCAGGATTGATTTCGAGGGATTTCGATTTCATGGAAGGATTTGGCATTGGAGGGAAGTTGCATTTGGAAGGATTTGAAATCTTTGGTTTGTTCGGTTTGTAGAATTTGGATTGAATTCCATTATTTATAAATTATAAAAACAAATTATACAAAAATTATTAAATTACCTTTTTATTAATTGATTATTACAAAGAATATATATTTTAAGCCATTATTATATACAAATCCTACGAAATCCCATGAAATACCAACCACCCTCATTGGATTTTGAAATTCCCATGTTTATGGGATTTCAATGAAATCCTAGGATTTCAAATCCATGAAATCTTTCAAACCAAACACAGGATCAGATTGGAATTCAATTCCAAATCTCTCCAAATCCATTCCAATGCTACAAACCAAACCGGACCTAAGTGTTTCTATTTAGCCATCCTTTTGCCATARTAACGTTTCATCCCATATTACAAAAGGAACTATTCCACACATAGAATATTTATTGACATATAGGGTAAGAAAGAGCAGAATCAACAAAAAACACCAATGGTTCTATATCAAGAAAGAAACTCGTCTTTGATTGACAGAGATGCTACAAAAATTTATAACTTTTCCCACTGTCCATGCATCTTTTATACACATAAGAAAGAAAAGAGCAAATGACTGAACATGAAACAGATTGGGGAGTCATAGAAGTCAACATAAAAGCTGAATMCATCCGCCATCAATCGATGGAAACAACGTCCATCCTTGACATATTGTCTGATACCAATAAACAACTAACAGTGAACACAAAAAAGCATATGTTTTCCAAGAAAGCAATGCTTACACAAGTACAAACATTCATTCTAAGAGATACATCTCTAATACCAAAAAGAAAAGAAGAAGAAGCTGAGAAGCAATGCATTTTCCTTTAACCAAAGCTTTTTCAGAAATAAGTGAAGTGATTCAACAAAATCTTCCATTCAAGTAGTTTTTAGACTGCACTATGGAACTTGTTGCACAATGTAGAAGTAGAAGCATCTCATGTTATAGTTATTCACTACCTAGGAACCATGAACCATGAACGAAGTTCAAATTTTAAACCAAACGAAGTTCGAAGTTCAAATTTCAAATTCACCTAACAACGATTCAATATCCCTTCACAAGAAGCTTGCTTCCCAAAATATGCAAGTGATAATCACACAAAAAACATGTTCTGGGCCTAGACTTTCATGTAAATATAGAAATGAAGACAAAATCCTGTGAGCAGGGCCTTGCACAGGATGAAAGAGGCTTTTCCATAYCATATTACATTTAGGGGTTCCAACTTCTTCCGAACTAACCAAATAACCAATAATGTATATGTGTGCCCAGGCCATAAGACCATATTACTTTGGAGTCTTTCACTTCAAAATCTTATCGGCATCAGTAGTTTCAATCGTTATTGCCACATCCTGTGTTTTTTTTTTTTTTTACTATAAACAAACAGGCATAACCTAGTTTATTTCACCAATTCAATCAATCATATATTAACTGAAATTTTACTTTACCCACCTAATTGGTTGAAAATTATCCTCCCTTCTTAATGCCTCTATGCTATGTTATATTCTGTTTGACAATATTTTCAGCAAATTACCATTGCCATTTAATCATCAACACTATCGCCAAACCACCATCGTGAATCAYAATTACTTGGTGATTAATTTGCAAGCATGCATTCGTTTATCCAGGAAAAAGAGTAAATGATATTGAGAATTTGCCTYCCATTACCAGGTWTTCAGCATTTAACAAAACTCGTCCAAAATCTTTGAAGAAATCTACATACCAATTACCAGCAGAAGAATTAGATTAATAAAATGCCTATGTTTATATGGTTCTAACCATCCACGGTCCACTGAATTTAACAAAACCAGGTATTGAATTGCTAACCATATAATAAAAACAAAACCCTAAAAGCTTGAAGGTTAGAACAGACCGAGATCTCCACCGCGTTTAGCAGAGCTACAATCGGAGTAACGAGATGCAACATCCTCGAACTTCGACTTCCCTGAAACTATGTCCTCGCGGAGAGTCTTGAGCTGAGAGACAGCGGTGTCTCTGGTGGTGTTGCTGATGATGTGACCTTCTGGATCCTTCCACGAAGCCTTACGCCGAGATCCTTGATGCTTTATCAATATRTGTGAAGCCCTAACTTTATCAGAAGAAGAAGACGACGACATTCTCGACTTCTTGTGGTTGTGTTTACTTCGATGATCTCCGGCAGCGGCCTGATCACCAGGCTCCTTCCTTTTGTGATCGGACTCAATGGTTGCGGATTCCGATGGCTTATCCGTTGTCGCGGCGGAGGCGGCGGTCGTTGCGGTAATCGTTGACAGAGTTCTTGCGGAGGCTGATGAGTTACTTGAGACGTGCGGGAGAGTGACGATTTGTGAGCCCAATGTGATTTTTTAGGGGTGGGTGGATGGCCTACTAGATAAAATATCAAAATAAATCGGTAGAGGTCCTTCAAGTTTTGAAAATATCAATTTACTCCCTATGGTTTCGAGAAACTCTAAAACAATTTTTTTCTAGAAGACGACCATAAAAARGCTTATGTTTTAATGTATAGAAAAGGGAAAATTGTATCAAAATGGAATCAATTTTTACTTCATTTTTATTGGGAAAAGTACAATAAAAATCAATGAACTTTCTTGTTTTGAATGATTAAGTCCTTAGACTTTTTTTTGGAATAAATAAGTCTTTGGACATTCCAAAACATGTTAAATAAGTCCTTGAACAATTTTTTGGAATAAATAAGTCCTTGTACATTCCAAAATATGTTAAATAAGTCCTTGGACATTCCAAAAAATGTTAAATAAGTCATTGGACAATTTTTGGAACAAATAAGTCCTTGGACAATTTTTGGAACAAATAAATCCTTGAACAATTCAAAACATGTTAAATAACTTCTTGAATTTTTATAAAACATGTTGGATACATTCTTATGACTTGTACAACTAGTTAAAGTGGTAAAATAGTGAAAAAAAAATCCGAAAAATATCCAACTTTCAAAATCGTCATTTTGGGGAAACAACTTGCACTTGATTCCTATTTTGGGAAACTAACTTTCAAAATCGTCTTTTTGGGAAACCAACTTGTACCTGATTCTTATTTTGGATAACCAACTTGCAAAATAATTATAGAAAAAAAACTAAAATTCGTTTTTTTTTTCAAAATTAATGCAATAAAATCTATTTTTCATTTCAAATCTCGTTTTTTTAAATTCAGATATCAAATTGAAATTTTTTTTAAAAAAATCCAAATTACCACAATAAAAGTTGTTTTCTACTAATGCAAAAAAAATCAACTTAATATAAATAAAATTAATTGATGCAATAAAAAATAAATATTAAATATCACATTCAAGATTGATAATCGATATAAAAATCTATTTTAATTAAAAATAAAAAAAAATCTGTCAAATTAAAAAAAGATTTGAAAATGATTATTGATTAAATTTATTTTAATTAAAAATAAAATGTATTTCGTATATGATTTCTTAAATTAAAAAAAGATTGAAAAAGAATTACTAACTAAATTTATTTTAATCAAAAATAAAATATATTCTTTGTGATTTTCCAAAATAAAAAAATTGAAAATAATTTGACTAAATTCCCGATATATTGAGGATAAAATTTAACTAAACGCATATTTATTTAAAATTCATTGCTAGTATTCATTGGTATATATGCATGGGTTACCTATATCTAATTGATGGCTAATTTGACCACCGTCAGACGCTCTAACATAGTAACATGTTAATAAGTTTGAAAGATCGTGTTTGAATCTTGTTGGTATCGGGGATCTTGTTGTTGGTTTTTATTCGATGACGAGATTAATTCCTGGATAGTTACATTGTTATTAATGGACAGTTACAAAACATCTCATTGTCATTAATGAGCGGTTAAAAAACATCTCGTTGTCATTAATGGACAACTAAAATCTTTTCCCAAAAATAATCATATGCTTTGTAAGCATATCTTGTAATCAGGGGTGTCTAGAAAGTTGTACAATTCAACTACAACCATTGTCCGTTACAACCTGCCAACTATAGTTAAATATTTAATTATAATTTGGATTGAATCGGACACAAAATTTCAACATCCAAATTGAATTAGTCAGTTATTGAGATGACAACCCATAATCCAACAAGCTGAACCGATCCAATCTAATGATCATTCAATTACTCATCCAATAACAGTTCAATTAATACACATGTATGTGTGTGTATGTATATATATATATATATATATATATATGTGTGTGTGTGTGTGTTATATAACCTAGGGTTGATTTTTGATGTGTTTGAAAATTTGGGGTTGTTTTTGGTTACATGAAAAAAGTTAAGAGGTGTGTTTTAAAAAATTGGTTTAAAATATCATAGGTTTCCACCGCCTCCTCTTTTAAATATAGACATGGGATAATTATTTTTCTTTCTTTATGTTTAATTTGGGGATTTAGAAGAGAAAAAAGAAATTTGGTGTCTAATTTGGTTTCCTGCTTGAAGCAACGGAAGGAAAAAAAAAAAAATATATATATATATATATATATATATATATAATCTTTTAAAAAGTATTTTGGTAATTTTTATCTTGTAATAGCAATCAAGGCCGTTCCTGGGGGAGGACAGGTAGAGTGTACGTCCAGGGCCCATAAAAATTAGGGGCCAAAATTTTTTAATATATATAATAACAGTTCAAAAAAAATTAGTAAATAGAAGACACATAAAAATTAGTATCTAATATGACAAGAAAATATTTTTATATTACATTAACTATTAAAGACTCAAACATGTATGAATTAAATATATTGGAGAAAAAAATACATAAAGATGTTAATTTGTCGTTCATTATATAATATTATTTAATGTTTTTCTAAGTTTTTTAATCTAAAACCGACGTCTAAAACTACTTGCTTCGAAAAACTTAGATATATTCTCCATAATTTATCTCTTATCGACTCTTTTGATTGTTCCATTCTCGTGTGAATTCTATTTTTATATTAGAATATGATAGATTTTTTTGTTATTAGCTAACAAAACTCTCATCTTTTGAAAAAATTATCAACCATATAAGACGGTACAACTTATATCTATATTTAAAATAATAAAACTATAATTGTTTTTTCATAGTTGTTCTTTATTATTTAGTATTTAGTGTATAAATCTTATGTACTATTATATCTCTAAAAAAAGAATAAGATCTCAAACTATCACCAATATGAGTTTTTTAATTTATATAATTGATTATTCCATAAAAGTTTGTTTTAACCTTAACTCTATGTTCTTGAGTCTTTTTTTACGTAGAAAAGAGAGGAAAGTAATGAGGGAAGAAAAATATTTTGTTCTCGAATTTTTTTTAGGAAAAGGAAAAAAAAATTATATCAAAATTTATTTTTATTTTATTATTTTTCATTCCTCTCTCTTCTCTATTAAAAACACAAATAAAAAACTTAAATTTTCTTCTTTCCTTTTATTTTTCTTTTCTTTTCTTTTCTCATTCTTTCTTTTCTTCCCAAATTCAAAAACATAATATAAAAGTTTAAAATGGTGTTAATATTCCCAAATTCAAAAACATAGTATAAAAGTTTAAAATTGTGTTAATCTTCCCAAATTCGAAAACATAATATAATAGTTTAAAATGGTGTTAATCTTCCCAAATTCGAAAACATAATATAAAAGTTTAAAATGATGTTAAAAAACATTAACATGAGATGACATGGAAAACCAACCTATTTACATTGATTTATATAGTGTCACTCGTAAATCAGAAAAATCGACTTTGTGACTCCAAATGATATCATTCTATGTACCAAAAGTACATCATAGGATGTTTTTGATGATGAAACAAATTACTGATACTACATAAAAATGTTCTAGTAGATATATAATATTAATCTAGAAATAAGTATTGATTCATTAGACCACAACGTCTAACCCTCATTTTTTTTTTAAATATGCATTACAGGTCGGACACGTGTGAAAAGAGAAGATGTGAAAGGAATTGTTAGTGAATTTACATCTGTGAATTTTTTTTGGGAAGCTGAATATCTACATGTATTTGAGAATTTGTGGGAGCAAAAAGTTTGTAGTTACTTTTATATGTAGCAATATGTGTATATATGAGACCAATGTGTATATTTATATTTCTTGTTATAAGGAATATATGTACTTTATGCAAAATGAGAGTTGGAGTGTTACAATATATATATATATATATATATATATATATTATATATATATATATATATTTCAAATGCAACCATGTCTATTTGTACAACTAATGCAATCCAATTAATTAAGATATTTATAGAAATAAAATTAAACCTAACACGTTGCAAACACCAAGTAATGTAACAAAACTACAATTAAACTTCACATTTACGAACACCATGTGAACCTAATGAAGCCATTGTGAACATACTGTGAATATGCGAGATTTGGTATGTGAACATTAAGGGGCCGTTTACCAAACATTTACCTGGTAAGCCCTTACCGGTAAAATTTAACACTATCTTTTTATTTACCAAATAAGATTTTTGTTCACCAAAACAGTATCATATGCAACAATTTACCCGGTAAGCGCTTACCATGGTAAGAGTCGTCGCCCTCAATTACTGGATAAGACTCTTAGTCCTTGTCTCGCAATTACCGGATAAGATTTTTGATCATTACTATATTCATCCGGTATGGTAATGTGACTTGGTGTTCACTTACCCGAGTAAGCGTTTGGTAAACAGCTTCTAAGTAACCTATTGAAATAGAGAAATTTACATAGTCACCCTTGTGTCATTAAGTAAGTAACCAAACGATTTAATTCAAAACATAGAATGGATCTCATAAAAAGTAAAGTTCCTGAATGATTAAGTTCATATAAAGTTATATATATGTAAAATAATATATTAATTCAAAACATCTATCAAAGTCATATTTAATTCTACATTAAATCATATATATGATTAAAATGATAATTTTATATCATTCAAACTATCGATACAAAACTCTTATCAAACATCTATTTTTCGTTATGTATTAGATTATTTAGAATCTCTTAATTATTATGTACCAAATCATTCAGCATCTTTTAAACGAACTTTTACTTAAATACCACTAATAGGGGTGGACTTGGTAAGATACAAAGTTTTTTTTTTCTTTCTTTCTAATACCGTGTACTAACTGATTATAATTGGTTCACAAATCTTATAATGTGTACCAACCAACTATATTTAGTACCAACTTAAATGATATCGACTTTTTTTGGCTGGTACATATTGGTTACTGGTTTTATACCAACTTCAAGTTGTATAGATGAAAACTTGTCATTTTGTTCATATTTTAAGTAACATTTTGAGCTTCCGAATACATATATGATGTTTAAGAGTTTTTAATTATAAACAATAAAATTTGCAAATATTCAAATGTTCAAACAAATTAGTTCAAGTAACAACGTTTATATTCAACAGATAAAAAACACAAAACCTAATAAATAATTAAATAAGTCGGTACCATGATACTAATATGACATGCAATTTCCTATACCCTCTAAAACAATCAAGTTTGCATACTTGATACGATATTACTAACCGACGTTAATCTGTATAGTTGGTATAGATATTGACCGATTTATTTTGATACTAAATTATCACCCCCTCGATGTTAGAGACACTTAGGGGTCGTTTACCGAATACTTAATTGAGTAAGCATTTACCAAGTTATATTATCTTATCGGATGAATATAGTAAGAACAAAAAATCTTACTCGGTAAGTGAGGGTAATGACTCTTACCACAGTCAACTCTTACCGGATAAATTGTTGCATAAAAAACCATTTTTATTGACTAAAATTTTACTTGATAAGTAAATAATAATATTGAATTTTAACGATAAATACTTACCGGATAAATGTTTGGTAAACGGACCCTTATATTTTTCAAATAATTTATCAAATTTAGCTTTCACTTGTTATTTGATACTAGAAGCGTACTCGCGCAATGCAGCGAGATACATCGTGTTTTTAATATTTCTTTTTATTCTTTATCTCAATCGATGTTATAATATGGCTTTATGTGATTTTGAAAAAGCGATGATGTTTTTATTTTTGAATAAAATATATGTTTGACGATATCATAAAAATT